ATATACTTTGAATATATATTTAATATATTTCTAATATATACTTTGGGTATATCATATATTGTCAGGAGGGAAAGGATAACATGCTTGGAAAGGTGGACGACAGAGCGGCAAAGGAAGATGCTGGACGGAATGGATTAACACAATAACTAGTGTATGGGAGTATGTGTGTCAGAGACAGAGTGAGACCAGCTCAAAAAAAGGCAGGTTTCAGAGCTGTTGTTCATATAGGGTCACTATGAATCAGGAGTCACAGGCGATTTGATGGCACATAACGTGATGCATCTAAAAACTAGACAATGAAGAAGGATGGCAGAAGAACCAATGCCTTTCAACTGTGGTGCTGGAGAAGAGTACTGAGCATCTCATGGACTTTCAAAAGAACAAACAAGTCTGTCTCGGAGGAAGGGCCACCAGGATGCTCCTTAGACGGATACTTCGTCTCACATTCTCTGGATATGCTATCAGGAGAGACCGATCCTTGGAAAAAGGCATCTGGTTGTAAAGGTGGAGGTCAGGGAAAGAAAGGAAGACTCTCAAACACATGGACTGCCATGGTGACTGCAACAATGGGCTCGAGAGTTCCAGAGATCCTGAGGCTGGGACAGGACAGGGCAAGGTATGCTGCCCACGGGGTTGCTATGAGCCATGGTGGGCAACAAACAACAGCCACGCAGCAGGCTTGATACCCCGGCCCCTCCTCCCTACAGCCCAGTGCTGAGGACTCCGCTCCAGAAAAGCCACTCACTGGGCGCTCTGACGTAGTGAAGTCCACTGGGGTGATGGGATTGACCGCAACCGGGAAGAATGGAGCACTTGCGAGGAAAGGAACTTTGAGCACGTTTCAGAAGTCAGCTGTTCTGAGGAATAAAACGTGCCCAAGATGTGCAGAGGAGCGAGCCCTGGTGGCAGGGCGCAGCAAGTGATGGCCTACTAACTCAAGGGTCAGCCGTTCAAACCCATCCACCTCTCTGTGGGAGAAAGGTAGACAGCCTCCTCAGAAACCTGACAGAGGGTCACTGCGAGTCAAGATCGACTCAAAGGCAGTGGGTTTTTTGGGGTTTGTTTAAGATGTGCCCTAATCAAGGGAGATGTTACTAAATGTGGGTGGGAATCTAGAAAGGACTTGGATATTGAAATAGTTTTATTTTCTTTTTCTTTGATGACTCCTAGATTTTGTCTTACCTAGACAGCACTTCCCAAGACATGAAGATACATACAAATTATTGTTTTACATAAGTACTTCTATCATTTTTAAGTCTTAATCTCTGACCTACCTGAAGTTTATTTTGCTGCAATGATGGAAGATCTTTTGTTCCTCATGTGGCAAATCTGACCATTTAAGACACAAAACTCTTAACAAATACCATCTGTAGAACTGAGTCTAGAAACTGGGTGACTAGTTGTTATGTTCTAGGTCTGGTGGGAAAATGTTACTCAGACTGTGCGCCTCTGATGTGCTGCCGAGTCCTAGGGCTTGTGAACATAGCACATGAGAGGATACAGGGTCACCTTGGTCTCGTGACTGCAGGGACGGGTGAGGCTGAAACCTCAGACTGCTCGTCATAACTATTTCACAACAATCTCCACACAGGGTCAACTATTCCAGCAGCAAAGTCTGCCTTTGTCCCTTGCCTTGAGTAATGAATGCCCTTGGCTGACTCCTACAATAAACGCTAAGCCTGCACGGTGTCATCCTTCCCAGGGCTTCAATTAGCATGTCTGTGCAAATGATTCTCATAGCCTCATCGCAGGCCCTCAAGTCCCAGCTGTCTTGAAGGCATTTCCGCAGGCGTGGCCCACAGGTATCTGACACTCAGCATTGAATTCCACAAACTTCTTTCACATTCCTCAAATTGCATATTTAGCTTCCAATCTCATTAACACCAATATAGTCCTTGCCCAGTTTTTAAACCACTGGTAGTCTCCAAAATGTCTTAGATCCACATTTGTTTCCTCTCCATTGCCACTACTGTAGTTAAAACCCTTACTGGGTCTGGCTTGGAAAATTCAAGCCCTTTTATCATTTTTCTTAAAACTAATATTTCTAACATCTTTGTTCTTTTTCAACTTCCTCTACCTGATCAATCCTTCACTGCCACTTCTGATAGAGCCCTCCTTCCAAAGTCCATGCTACAAAGCAGTTTTAAGTTCCTAAAAGGGCATTAAAGCCATGCACCCATGTGTTTGCCCCAACCCTACAAGCCTCACACCACCACTCACTCTACACTTTATCACTTCATTTCACAAACACCCCGCCTTCCCACGTTACCCTGTGTCCTTGGACGGCCTTTCCAGCTCTGGCCACCCTTCACTCTTAGACACATGCTGTCCAGTTCAATAGATTCCAGCCAACAGCGTATAAACTGGACAGCAGAAGAGTCCCAAATAAACAGAGTATGTAGGATCTTCTTTCTCTTCTGTGGAGTTCTGGTGGCTCCAGGGATAAGGAAGCACTTGGCCAGTGCAGAGGTACACGGTTTGAATCTGACAGTTGTCCATGGGAGAAAATGGGCGGTGGCGGTCTCTTCCCCGTCACTGGAGGGTCTGCCGAATTAGTTCTGAGTCAACGGTACACAGCAATCTTCTTTTATCATGATGGCAAGTTGAACTGTTTGGGATATACTGAACTCAATAAAACGTAGTAAAACTGTACTTTTAACATAGTTTGATGTGGCTACTAGAAAATTCCAAATTTGATGTGATTTTTATGTTGGCTACATGGCAGCACTCAAGATACAGTCGTTCCTGTAAGCCTTTATTCACGCTTGATGCCTTCCTTTAGGCAACCCGTTAAGGAGAGCCTGCCCTCGGCCAAGCACAGTGGTGGGGATGGAGCCACTGCGGTGGAGGGACTGATGATGTGATGTTGCCTGACCTCTGGGAACATGCACAGCCTCGTGGAGAGCCCACAGCCCACTTGTGGTCTATACATGTAAAACGGTCAGGCAATACTGCACACAGAGACTGAATGACAGAGGTGCTAATCACATCCCTTGTCCTCTCCTTCTGTTCTCAGGTTCTTCCAAAAATGACATCACACGTGGTAAATGAGATCGATAACATTTTGCGCAACAAGCCCTACAGCAAAAAGGACTACAGATCTTAAGGCAGTGCATGCGCCCAGGAGCCACGTGTTAAGGCGGGGACAGCCCGCTGCTCCTGGCCGGTCTTTTGAATCACATAGCAGCCTGTGGCTCAACCTCTAGTGTCCCCAGATTCTCTGGGGTGTCCCTGTCGCTACCACTGTGCACCAGAAAACTCACAACCACGAAGATCCTTCTATTTTCTTATCTTGGACTGGGGTCCCCTGCCCTTGCCTTGCTGTCACCTCATGCTTATGCAGTGGGAAGTAGATACGAGGGCAAGATTGATGACCGTCAGGCCCGGGGTAACCTAAAGGCTGCACAGTAAGACTGTCCACACAGGAACCAGGTCCACAGACACAATGTGGACGTTTAAGCAGACTCAGAGAGCTTACCTCCCAAGCCCCTGCTTTAGAGAAGCAGCAGAAATGATTTCACTTCTCCCTCTTCCCTTTTCAGACTCCTTTTGCTTCACCTGTCCTTTGATAATACTAAGACTCTGTGTATTTGTTCTCATTAACTTTTAAATAGTCAACATTATTTAACCCCAAGAAGAGCAATGTATGCAAGGTGTCTATTAAAAGAACCCTTCATCTGTTATGAGGCCAACAAAGCTATGGCCATTTACATGGAGATGGTTAAAAGACTACATTAAAGACATTACAGCCAGTTTATAAAAGGGGGTTACCGCTTTGGAAACTTAGCTTCGAATAAAATGGAAATATATCTGCAATGAAGAGTTCATTTTTTACTGTATTTTACTGAAACCTGCTTTCTACTTTTGACTGCTTGTAGGCACAGCTTCTGCAAGTTTAAATATTTGAGCTTTAAAAATACACACATGCTCAGTTTTGTAAGTAAATCTGTAAGATACCCTGAGAGCAAATGTTCATTTTTTTTTTCTTTTTAATTAGCACTAGGGTTTTACAATATGATGCTTGACATTCTTGAGGAGTTAACATGAAGGTGAATCACAAGCTTTGTGGAAGACTATGTTACTATTCAGCATATGCTGGGCGAATGAACTCACCCAATGAAAAGTAAACTTTAGAGAACTTCCTGAACGTGCAATCACGTAATATGCACTAAACTATATGCATGAAACTCTTTGCATGGAATAAAAGGGCTCAGCCTTTACTGCTTTCAGAACCTGAGGTCTACCGGCTTCACCCACCACAGGTTCACTTACCCTTTCCATCCGAGATCTAGAACGCACTGTGCCTGTACCTAACCGTGATCAGCAAGGAAACGTACCTTCTCCTCTATCCGGCGTCCTCTAAGCTCTATTTGGACACTGAGGATGGATAAAATCCTAATTTTTTGGCCAGTGGGTCCCCCTTGATGGAAATCACTATGAGATTTGCAAAATAAGTACACTATTTATTAACTGAAAATACTTTTTTCTGTCATCAGTCCCGGATATGTATTTCATGGTTAAGTTCTGAATCTTAAAACGTTAGTGTGTGACATCGAGTTTTCCTGTTAATCCTACTTGGATTCCAGTAGGGAAACCATTTGCTTTGTTTCGCAGTATCCAATTGATGTTGGACTAGGATCACTTTTCAGTTGTTCAGTGTGTAGTCAACTTAGTGAACTACTGTTATGTATAAATGAGCTGAGGTGCTGTTTAATTGGAACTGTGATTTGACCCATTTATTTGCTTGGAGTAATAAAAGCATTCTGTGCACTGAATCTCACAACCGGTTTTTCTTTTCCCTTTCACGTTATGGCACAAATCCTTGTAGAACAGACAGCAAAAATTATCCAAGTGAAAATGATGTTGGAGAGTAATAAGCTGCACTAAGATACCGAGCAGAGATGCCAGTGGGCGCTGTGGCTTAAAGTGAAACTCAGTTTGTCTTATTAATGGAGAAAATTATTAGCTACTGGGGGAATAATTTCTCATTGAGTTTTAGAATTACTTTGCACTATAGTTAAAGCTTCTCAAGTCTACCTAAAAGAACCTGAAAATAAAAATCAAATGCAAACATGATTGCCTAGCAGTGGGAATGGCCAATTCTTACATGCAGACTATCTGCATGGTAAAGACAGGAGGTGAAACATGCATCTTCCCGGGACAGGAAGCCCCCACTGAGATGGGTCGACTCTGTGACTTCCGCCATGGGCTCCAGTGTCTCAGGGAGGATGAGGATGGCACAGCACAGGGCTTGGGTCAGATCAGCTGTTCACAGGGTTGCTATGTGACTCAACGGGCCCCAACAGCACCCCTCTTCTGGGAGGCAGAGAACATATTCTGAAGGGTAACATGGTAGCAAACATCTATATTCTAAAATTTCATCCAGGAGAAATATAAACCAGAAACCCTGCACCTTCCATCACACCTTAGAAAACGGTCACTTCATCTTTATGAGGGCTCCGGAAGGTCACTAGGCAAATGTCAGAAATTTCACCTTACGTAACCAAGTGTGAAGCCACTGCTGCTCGTAGCACTCCCTGGCAAAAGAACAAATGGAGGCCAGACACTCCGATGAAGAACTTGACCTCACTCCGCCAGGGGAGGGCAGAAGCAGCCCAAGGATCCCAGCCTCTGGTGTTGTGGTAGCTTTTCCTTTAAGAGGAGTTTTTGTTTGTTTTCTTTTATATTTTAGAGCCTTTTCTAGAACCAGGAGTAAAGTTTTACTTTTAAATGATCTTGATAATGAATACAAATTCAGTAATAAAAGAGAAAGCTCAGAAAAGAGATGCACTGAAAAGCAGTGAAGGCCACCATCTAAATTCACCAACTAAAAGAACCAGGAGTCTGGTAGCCTAGTGGTAAAGAGTTGCACTGCCAACCCAAAGGAATGCAGTTCAAATCCAACAGTCATTTCACTGGACAAAGATGGGCAATCTCCTCCCCTGCGATTTACAGCCTCCAAAAACATCTTGTAGGATGTCTGGGTTCCAACTCAACAACACTTAACAATCTTCATTTCATCCCCTTGCTTGGGAACTTCAAGTTGATTAATTCCTTAGAACCTAACTGATCTGTTCCTCTTTAACCACGTCTGTAACCTTCCTCAGTGTCTCCAGAAAGGACCAGCAATGATCACTGAAAAAACGGAAGCTGGGTGTGGGTGAACAAAGGGGCTGGACACATGTACTCATTCACAAAGGAGCTCTGAGGCTTTAGTTCAGAGTGGTCCTAACCAAAATGATGACCTTCTGAGGGTTCAAATCCACAGGGTTCTGTGGGAGAAAGACGGGCAACTTCCGCCTTAAGGATTTTCAGCCTTGGAAACCCGCAGGAGAGACACGTTCTGATTATTGTCATTACAAAGTGAAACTTACCCATTCGACCCATAAAGAAGTCTAGGAAAAATACACAAAGCAAGTTTTAATGAAATTAATCAAGACCTTTCACAAGAATTTTAGGTATGAATCTCTTTCAGTTATTTCAAATATTGTTCCAAATTTTCTTTTCCAAATTCCAAGAGTTTATCAAGTAAGGTTACCAGGAAACTTACTAATTAAGAATTATTTCAATACAAAATTTTTACTGAGATGTAAATTAGCAAACTAAAACAGAAAATTATAGAATGTTGCAAATATCTATTAAAAGAATTTTAAAAAATGATGGAGTTCTGGTGGCCTCGTGGTAGGAATCTGCTACCATCCCGAAGGCACGTGGTTCGAGTCCACCAGCTGCTCTGCCGGAGACAGACGGGCAGTCTCCTCCTGTGCAATTACTGCCTCTGAAAACCCACTGGAGGGTCAGCTATGGGTCAACTACAACTTGATGGCATACAACATTCCTTAATTATAACAAATAAATGGGGTTTAAAAGAATTTAAAAAGTAAAATTTAATAGCTTAGAATTCTAATTACACCAGAACCCCTTGTATTTTACTGTGTGTGGATATGAGGTCTTCACGAGGTAAAAATTCTACAGCTGGTTTTCACTAACTTAACCAGCTTAGGTTCTACAAACGATTCCTAATTCCCAAGAGTCTATTACTGGTATAAGAGATGCTTTATTAAACTGTGGAACAATGAGTATATGTTTTTAATTCTTATACACAGAAACTAACCTAACAGTACAAAGTTAGCATTAGCGGGATTAAAATATTACAAATTTGGTTTTCATAAGCAATTCCATTCTGTTCACCTAACTCACTGTAACCGAGTTAGAAGTGACTCGTAGCGGACTTCTCCACCCTCCAAAGAGGCTGTCAATTCCACGGGAGACTGGCCATCCTTCTCCCATGGAGCTGCTGGTGGACGGTGGATTTGAACCGCCAGGGGCATCACTCTGTGGCTAGCAGTGCTACTTCTCTACACCACCTAAACTCCTGCTGTTCAAGGAAAAGTCAATGAAGGCCGAAAGGCAGACAGCCCTACTTCACCACCCATCTCTGCTAACCTGCACCACCCTGACAATGGTGGTGATTTTACCCCAACTGTAGGTAACCTAGAAAGCAGGGAACTGCACTGCCAATCCAAGGGTGGGCAGTTCAAATCTACCAACTGCTCCTAGAAAGACGGATGGGTAATGTCCTCCTGTGTAATTTATAAACTCAGGAAACCCACTGGAGGGTCAGCTATGAGTCAATTCCACCTCAACAGCAACTTAGCTTTGGGTTTGTGTTGTGTTTTTTTTTTTTTAATATGGTTACTATGAGTCGAAATGGGGAATTATGGTGACTTACTGGTTTAAAGAGTTGTGCTGCTAACCCAAAGGCACTCAGTTCAAATCCACCAGCTGTTCCACAGGAAAAAAAAAAAAAAGAGCCATCTCCTCCCATGCAGTTCATAACCTGTGAACACCTGCTGGGAGGTCGACTACTCTCTGGCTTAACAACAGTGACTAGAGTAGGTGCAAAAGCTGAGGGTCCGGGCTTTTGGTTGTCTGCTTGTCTGTTGTTGATTTTTGTAATATACAAACACTGCCATCTTGTGGCAATTTCCCTTACAGTTTATAAAAGGCCGATTTGGTAAAAAAACACCATTGTTTTATTACACTGTCAGACAGTAATTTGATCAAGAAAGCCAAGGTATCTGGGCAAAATCTGGTACTACCAGTAACAACTAACCAATGGTCAATCACCAAGAAATGAAGCGTCAGAAACCCCTCAAATGCTAGTGTTATCTGTGCAGAGGTTCACCTCAGTCAGTCATGCTCTCCTATGATGCCTCTTCAGAGAAAAGGAAACAACCGCAAACTTGCAGAAGCAAAGACAAATCATCCTTAACTGCAGGAAGAGATGCTCGGGGCCGCCTCTGCCAGTGGAGTCCTGTCCTTGTCTCCATTCAGTCCCTGGCTGTGGCCCTCAAACAGGGAGAAGGAACCTGAACTCCCAGAGAATGTTCTTCTAAAGAGTTACATATGCTGCAACAACGAATGGAGATCCAAGTTTTCTGTAAACTTTCACTAAAATATCAGTTTAAAAAAAACAAACAAAAAATTATATATAAACCAGCTAATGTCCATGGTAACATTCATGTGAGAAATGGAAGATAAAGACTAGGAATATGTCCTTATCTTTGAAGCAATACTTGTAGAAAATGAACTGTGGTCAAAAGCTAATAGGAATAAGACACTAACTATAATTATTGATTCCATAGCCTGCTAAGAGATATAGATTAAAAGATTCTTCAAATTCTTTAAATTATACCAACACAAATAACTTAAGCATCTGTTGATGCTCTTGTTAGCTGCCGTCAAGTCAAGCATGACTCACAGCGACCCTATGAACAAAAGATCTGAGCCCTGCTCTATCCTGTGTCAGCCTCACACTTCCTGCGGCACAAGAGCCCTTTGCAGTGACTACCTCAATCCACCTGGTCGAGGGTCTTCCTCTCCTTTGCTGACCTTCCACCCTTCCTAGCATTATGTCCCTCTACAAGGAAGAGCCCCTTCTAGGAACATGCCCAAAGGATTCGAGGTGGTGAAGCCTCATCATTCTTGCCTCCAAAGAGCACTCCAGCTTCACCCTCTCCAAGATGTATCTGTTCGTTCTCTTGGCTGTCCATGGAATATTCAGTGCTCTTCTCCAACATGACAGCTCAAAGGTGTCAATTCTTCTGTCATCTTTATTCACTGTCCAGCTCTCAGGTGCATAGCAAGTAATCGGAAAGACTAAGTCCCGAGTCAGATGCACCTTAGTCCTCAAACTGACGTCATTACCCCTTAATAATTTGGAGAGGTCCCTAACTGCAGACTTTCCCAGTGCAATACGTCTCCTTATTTCCTGACTGCTACAAATAGATAAATATGCCACAGAATGTGTTCTGCTGTACTCCTGAAAGTTGGTAAGATCAGGTTTTCACAATCAATGAGAAATCTTGAGAATAAAGATCAAATTTATGAAATGCCTGTTGGAAATATGCTTTGAGAAAAGCAAATTTCAAGCCACTGCCATCGAGTCAGTCCTGACTCAGTGACCCTACAAACAGAGCAGAGCTGACCCTCGGGGTTCTCACGGCTACAGGAGACAAGAGATTTCTCTTGCAAAGCCTAGCTGGTAGTTCTGTTGACATTTCTGTTAGCAGCTCCAACACTTGACTCACCCTGCCACCAGAGCTCCCTGAGCACACACTGGCAGCCCTAAAGCCACTGTCATTCTTTCAGAATTCTCAGAATTCCAGAACTCAGATCATAAAAATTGCTTTGGTCATTTACCATTTCACTGTTCTGGAAAGAAGTTCTCCCTCATTAAAGCCACTGTAATCCTTCTGCAGAATTCTTGGCATTCTCGAAATAAGATTACAAAAATTACTTTGGTCTTTTCTACGTGTCAATATTCGGGAAAGAAGTCATTTTACTTAACAGTCCTCTAGTGACGTGAGACCCTGGTCGGAAACAAAGAGGCCAGTCTCCAGCATAGCAGGGTCAAGCTGACCTCCGGGCCATGCAGGGCCACAGCCACAGAGCAGAACAGTGCATGCTTCGATTCCACAGGGCCACGCTCATATGCCCGGGCACTATTTTTAGCTTACCACCTTGGCTGCTTCTCTTCTTTAAAAAAAAAAGTTCCTCTTTCCTAGGTTGAAGAAACCATGTCTAAGTTTTGAGTCATCTCAAGTCACTAAATCCAGAGTATTGTAAACGCTCGGTTTCGGTTCAACTCTCCTGGGGAGAGGATTCAGTCTCATTTTTATAGTTCAAAAAGAGTTTAATATTGTTCTTGGAACTGAGAGTCCGTTATTAACTTCTTGTGACTATTATAAATACTAACAGCCCAGCCCAGGTTACCACGACCTCTGAGTGATCAAGGGAACGAGTTCTTTTCTGTCTCTGCAATTACAGCACATTGCAAGATGCTCTGCCTTTTAATGAAAAGGGCACTCGGCGTCTCCCTCGCCACTCATTTAATGTCAACAAGCTGTCAGAAAGAGCCAGGACACAAATGCTGGATTACATCTCGTTGGGTTTCTTAAACCCTCAAATTCCAGAGTATAAAAACATCTTGTGCGTCTCCCGCCCGGCCACCCGGCTCCTCTTCCAGACCCCACAGGCCACCCACCCATCCGAAGGCAAGGGCAGCGTGGTCTACTTGGAGCCAGTGGACAGCAGGGCGATGAGTCCCGATGAAGCACTGATGGACAGAATGTAATTCCTGTAGGAATTTCCCATTAAGGAAAATTTGAGAACCCAAAATTGTTCAGTTAAAAAAAGTGCCCAGCTCTTCCAACGTGACGTTTCTCTCCTCACCCACTATATAATCACAGCGCTGTGCAGCCCTATTGTCGGCAAACACAATTACAAGACAGAGGCCATAAAGAAGGAAGAATGTCTGGGAAATGTGCTCCGATTTAAAGCCAGTGCACACTGGAGACAGAAATCTACAAGGCAAGATCCCAAGCAGCACATCTGAATCCCATTTACGCCTCTGGGAGAAGCCGAACAGAGACCATGGAGAAAGGAGGCCTATTTTCCTCTTTCAGAGCAAAGAAAAGCCCTCCCTGTCCATTCACTACCGCTGCGATTGGCTTGCAAAGTCCAGGCGTTTTTGCAAGTCTGCGGGACTTTATTGGGCAAACCACTCCTATATTCCCAGATGACACAAGTTGGAAAGTATCTGGTATTTTCTACCATAATCTCCAATTGCACGTTCCTAGGCAACACCCTTCGTAAATTACCTTACCAAAAGAAGACTGAGGGATGTGGATGTGCAGGGGGAAGGGGAGATTAATCACTGGGTTGTACAATTTGATTGGGGGGGTATGTATGTGAGGGAAATTGAAACTTTTTTTTCAAATTTGTATTTGAATTTTGTAATTAGTAGAAAAATAAAAAGACCGATTTCTTAATTCTAAATCTCAATTTAAGCGCGACCTGAAACACAGCTATTATTAAATGCACATATTCAAAAATAGTAGCTATCCACCCAACCCCAAAGCCTAAAAATTACACCAGAGACATGAGCTTATGCCGGGAGCTGCCAAAGAAATCTACCCTTGGAACCTTTGTGCAAATATGCACCCCTGAGCAAATGCACACAATCACAGAATACAATGGTGCTTTTTGATACTACTTCTCTAACATAAGGCCATAATTGATAAACGTAAAGAATGTCAGGCTCCAAAAACTTACTTTAAATGTCCAAAAGCTCGTCTAAGGTCATAGTGCTACCTCGTGAACTGACCCGCAAGGCAATTTTTCTTTTCAGTAAAACAAGACAAGTCAAAACTAAAATGAACTACCATGTGTAGACTTCTAACAATGTACAATCAGCCTCTAAAAGGATACACCGTGGGGTTGAAGTTCTTCAGAATAAAGAAGGAAGCAACAATGACCAAAAACAGGAATAGGGTGTTGTTATAAAAGATAGAAAATGTAGTAGCTTCATAATCAGCAACTTCATTCTTCTTCCACAAGATTCTGTAAATATAGAAAACAAGCCCATCAAGTTTCTAAAGACATATTAAAAACCTTAAACATCATGATGCCTCAAATTCACGTCTAGGATGAATTTTCTGTTATGTCTTATTGCCCCTTTCTTCTGACAGAATAGAAGTTTGTCCCTCTCCTAGTCGTTGCTAGGTAGACTACCTAGCTGCCTGCAATACCCCCAACTGCGAGGTGTATTACCTGGCCACCTGCAGATCCCGTGGGGCTAGGTTTACTGCCCAGCAACTGGTGGCTGAGCATACGAAGCCACGGCTGCCCAGCACCTGACCAGAGCTCCCTCAGGCCTGTTCTGAAGCAGCAGGGATTGCAGGATGGACTGACCATGACTCTGGCTTCACCAGCGGCTTAAACAAGCACCTGTTCTCAGCCTGGCACGTGGAGCTTCATCCTGGCAACGCTCTGGCTGGAGGCTCGAGAGCATGGGGTCAAGTCCAGTCTGTTTTACCCCTTAAAAAAGGACAAACTCAACTACAAAACTACCCCTGGTCTTGGAGTGAGCGGATTTGACCATGACCACTTTCAGTCAGTCACCTTACTGAATCCCAAGAAAAGGTCTGCTTGATCATTATATTTTTTAACTTCTGTCAAATGCACAGGTCTAAATGCCATCAGGTCCACGCTGGGCTGTGCTCCACAGAGCTTCCAACGGCTGGTTTTGGGGAAGTAAATCACTAAAGGCCTTTGACCCAGGCGCCTCTGGATATATGTGAACCTCCAACCTTTCGAGCAGCAGCCACCTGCTGGGATGCTTTTACCTGCACTTTATCCATCTTTTTAAGTACCTAAGTGGCACAGAGGGTCACTGACAGCTCAGTGGTTTGAATGCGGACCGGCCGCTCTGAGGGAAGACGAAGCCGTGTGCTCCTGTTACAATGAGCAGCCCACAAAACGTATGCAGCAATGAAGCGATGCGTGAGTCGGCAGCGATCAATGTCGCACCAACCTCTCCACCCTGTCATGCAGGGCAGGAAGTGCCAGCTGAACTTGGTAAAGCAGTTTTTCAAAGGGGAGGCTGGGATGGGAAATCAACTGAGAAGATCCGATGTTTGGGGGGAATCAATTGAGCGAGAGACCACCACTGTTTTTACAAACTGGACAAGCTCAGCATGCCTCGTGCTCAGTAATTCTCACTCACAAAGTGTGTGTGATGTGTATGAGTGTATATGGCAAAGAGTGTATTTTCTTAAACCAAGTGTCTTATCAAAAAGGCCGATCTTCACCATAGCAGAGATCCTGTCTATCTGGGTTAAGGGCTCCCTCTGCCATTGGTAAGTGACAACGTTTGGTCACCAAACATTCCAATCCAGATAAACACTCTTGCCTCGAAAGGAGCTAGAGTACTATGCCCTTACCATCATCTACCACAAACGGCCTACTTCCCTGATTCAGTCAGCTTAATAAGCCTTTGATCTACTATCTAGGAAGGGAAAAAACATCACACCAAGGACAACTTACTACAAAACACCTTCTGATTTCAGAGAAATTCAAAGGCAAATTTTTAAAAACAGAAAGTGGAGGAAACTCTGGTGGCCTAGTGGCAAGAAGCTACACTGCAATCCCAGAGGTGCGTGGTTCAAATCCACCAGATGCTCTGCTGGACAAGGAGGGGCAATCTGTACCAGTCAGATCTGATTTGATGTTGCACATATAATAAAAAAAAAAATTAAAAATTAAGAAAAACCCCACATAATATGGATATGGAAACATCTAATACTACTTGAAGAAAACACAAGTCTAGTAAGAAGCAGAGTCCCCCAAACAGTTTAATACTAGGAAATACTTAGAACCTCTATCTTTAAGAGTCTGGCAAAAGGCCCAATGAACAGTATTCTCACGCAGGGTGTTACTGTGTTTAGGTGCCCTCGAGAAAAAGTACTGCAGCCCTGGGAACAACAGATCTGAGCCCTGCTCTATCCCGTGCAGTCCTGGCTGTCTCGGACACGCCCGAGCCCACTGCTGCAGTCACTGTGTCGGTCCATTTGGTTGACAGTCCTTCCCTCACTGACCCTCCTGCACTGACCCTGGTTAGCTAAACTGCCCTCCCTCTATCACAGAACATTCCCTACCCCCCTATCGTGTGCTGGAACCACTTTCAACAAGGATCTAAAAGAAATGTAGCTCAATTCTTTAGGTTACGCCAACTGCCAATATGACGTGTTACACCAACGTATACACAAGCCTCATAACTTTTCTAGTCCCCATACACTGGGTTTTTTATTAAAAAAAAATACATAAATAGGGCCACAAATATTCCCTCTGATAATCCTGAGAAAATGTCACTGGCAGGAAATCAAACTTGGCTAAGTATTTCCCAAGGAGTCATTTGTCTAGTCAGAGCCGTCTGTCCTCCGAGAAAAGTCAGAGCTAAACTCAACAACGACTACAGGCAGAAAACCCTCAACAGAGAGTGCAGGTCAATGATGGTGACACTGACTAAGGCCTAAAACAAAAGCTAAGGAGTCTCTGATTCACTGCTGCTTATTTCTATCCTGGATGGAAGAATGATCCAAAACAGATTCAGAGTGGCTTGGAGCATAAACTCCAAACGTTTGCAGAGGGAGCTCTGAAAACACCTACCTAAACCAAGGGACACTATCAAACCTCAAGATTTCTGGGATAAAAATATATTGAGTGAAACTTACTTATTGTGGGAAAACATACTAGATCTTCATGGGAGCATTCAGTTCCAATTATCAGGGTTACAAACCTGCTACAATTCTATCAGTGAAGTAATTTTATCAGGTTTAAAATCATCCTGCATGTTACGTCCCATGGAACTCCATCTCATTTAACTTTGAACTACATCATTTAGGAAAGGGCAAAGACGTGTCCCAAGTCCACCTCTGATCCACCAGCAGTGACCACGGGATCACCACACGGGTAAAGATCCTCACTCCCAGGACCGAGAGCAAGTGCCACATGGTATCCGGCAGGTCTGCACAACCAGAACAGGGGGATGCCCCCCCTCGCTGGACACAATCACCTCAAAGCAGGAAAAACAGCTCAACTCAAGCCACTCTTTCCTAAACAGAAACATACTCTTTCTCAAAAGCTGGAGTGACGTAAAATTGATTTTCAGTCAAAGTCAGGATTTAACCTGCCAATCCTCTAAGAACTATTAATGGGTTTTTGAAAGGGGTGTTAACCGTAATGGGCGTTTCTGCTTAAAAACCTACATTCTAAAGACTAACTCAACATGATTTTTAAAAAGATGCTCTAGTTTCTCTGACCTCTACTCACAAAAAAATGCAATCCAACAGTTATGCAGCCAGACTCTGTCACACTGCTCCCTGCAAAAAGGCCTTCATTATCATGATTTTCTAATACTGTGTCCTCAGTTTTATAAAATACTCACAGAAGATAGCATCTCAGTGTTCTGGTACCTTTCCAAAACAATTATAGAAGACACTGGTCATTATGTACCTGGTGTCCCTTAAAGCCATTTGATAAAGTCTTTCCAAGCAAGATTCAGGGCCAAGAAAGTTTCTTTGCAGAAGGACTTGCATGCTGCATCTTGTCTGACAGGAAGAACTGTGGGCTGTTAGATGTGTCCTGAAGGCAGACACACAGAACCTGGTGTGGCGGTCAATGCTGGAACACACGCCAGGGCCTCACTCATCAACACTCCTTCCTTCCGTTCTTGACAGATTGGCATATATGTTCAAAGGTATAGGAACCTTTGTTTTATACACACTTTAACTTTCAGTCTTTTAGGAGGAAAATGGGGTAAAATTTCCGTTCTCTAAGCACCTCGTGGATATTCAAAGTGAAGATCTGTGAAAGTGACCAGACTCCTGACTACTCAAACTATCGCACAAGCTCACTCAACTATTCGGACACCTCTCCTGGTCGGCTGTCAGGGAGCAAACTGTTTGTGAAGCCCCCCTACTGCAGCTGGCAGTAAAAGGTGGACGTGGGGGCAAACAAATACAGCACAGAACTGGATGGCAGGAAACAAATCCAGTTCTCTTCTCCCCCAACCAATATAAACAAGAACTGGATGAGCCCCGGAGAGTTCAGAAACACAGATACCATGACTCAGAAATGCCAGCATACAGCACGACGAAAACTCTACAGCCAGAGGCGTGAGAAGCCGTGTCCCAAGATGCCCAGCCGTCACATGGCAGAGCGCGCCACACGAGGCTCTGCAGCCTCCTGACTCCTGAACAACGAAGGGCCAAGCACTCAAGTTCGCCTGCCTGCATGTGGGTCAGGGAATTCTGGTCTGTGGGGCAGAGAATGCTTCCCAAGCCCACCATCCCCTGTGTCCTCACACATAGAACGATAGATACCTAACAGAGATAAAGGTCTCTGAAGTACTCAACACTCAGAGCAGGCTATTCTATTCCCATTACGACCACCTGCATGGCACGGGATAAGAGAGGCTTCAGGTCTGTCATTCACAGGTCACTATGACTCACAGTTAGCACGATGGCACCTAAAAATAACTCCTTGTACAACATTAGTGCTTATTTCAGACACTGCAGCACTGACATTCTTTAAAACTCTCTGCAGCGTCATTGTTTTTCAGGTTTGTTTTGTTATCACAAACACTCTATGGAAGGAGGCAAACCTTTCATCTTTCTCCTTCCGAGACATCTTCTTGTTATCAGCTTCAGAAAGTTTCCGAGTCACTTCTCTGGAAACGGCATCCTCTCTCTTCTGAGCCACCCTGGAAGGAAAAGAGAAAAACAAGTGTTTCCACATGCTGCAGACGCGAACATCAACCTCCAGAAACAGGCTAGGCTCCTATTTTGTACTGGCAATTGTCTGATACCTTACATTTCAAGGCAGCAACTGCACAAGACGTTCCAAGTTCCCTGCGCTGACCCAGCCAAAAGACAGGGAGGGCAAGAAATTTCCACGATGTGGCCTATTAGCTAAGTGTTTTGGTTTCTGCCTAAAAGGAAGAATTTTCCAAACTCCCCGTATTTAATAGGTATATAAATGTCAAATGCTATTAGCTATGAGAGCAACACAGTGATGAATCAATCAGCAGAATTCCATTTTGTTTTAATGTATAATTTAACTCTTCAACAAATAAATCTCATAAAGCATGAGCAAATGATGTCTGATTTCAATTCCAGTAAGTAACAGGATATTGTATTTCATAAGCAAGGGACAAAATAGCAGCTGTAAAACCTTCAAGTAATGCTGTAAGTCCACCCTCAAGGCAAACCTCTCTAGAAAGCGGCGGTGCTGAACACCAGTAAAGGTCAGGAGACTGGGCCTCCTCTTCAGGCATGTCAGCAGAAGGACCAGATCTTGAAAAAGAGACATATTTGCTTAAATCCCCTTAAATGGCTTTTATTTCTCTTAGGAAACAGAAAAACTTAGAAAAAGCATGACGTTTAAATTCAACATACTCTATTTTTCAAAATACAGACAGAAATTGATCACTGCTGTGCACCATGGACTGTGGAGGAAGAAATCTGTTCACACCGCCTCCACTTCTGTCAGCCCCAGCTGCAGCCAGCTCTAGTCAGCACACCGACAAGGGCATCCAGGATTCAGACACAAATGCCCCTTGGTCTACCTCCGTCTCCATCCCTTTCTTTGTCCCACTTACTCAAGAAATCAATTAGAATTGGCATGATCTAAAAACAAGAGCCAACTGTCTACGGAATATGGCATTTTCAACTCTTCCTGTTCTTCTGAAAGTTGGACAGTGAATAAGGAAACCCAAAGAAGGCCTGGTGCCTTTGAACGGTAGTGCTGGAGAAGAATACGGACTGTCCTGTGAACTGCCAAGAGAACAAACAAATCCGCGTGGGAGAAGTGCAGCCAGAGAGCTCCTCGAGGAAGCGAGGGAGAGACTTTGGACATGTTATCAAGAGCTCAATCCACGGAAAAAGACAACATGCTTGGAAAAGCAGAGGGCCAGGGAGGGAGCAGATCCTCATGATACAGATAGTGAGGCCAACAATGGCCGTAAGCAGGCCAGAGACCGTGACAAGAACGCCGGGCAGGATTTTCTTCTCTCTGCTGTGGACACTGCTCACAGGAGCTGGAGCAAACTTGACCACACCCACCAACCACAGTAACATGTCAACTTTGCTAAATCTCATTTACCCCATACAGATCTATAAACAGCCGAAGGAAAAACTGCCCGACTGAGAAAAAGGAAATGGGTCCCGTGAAACAAAAGTTGTTTAATGGATTGAAGTGATATAAAAGTCACGTCAGGATATGACAGTGTCTGGTTTCCTCCAAAGACCAAGCGTAGCCTCACTGCAGCATGTAAAAAGTTTCATATTCTTCTGTCACTCCTGAGATACCAGACCCTAAATGCTGGAGACTTTATCTCTGAAGCTCACAAGCATTTAAGTCCTTACTAAAGTGAATGTCACACTAGTTTTTCCTACAAAAGATCAAATTAAAGAAACAGGTTGGAGCTCAGGCAGCCTAGTGGCAAGAAGCTGTACTGCAATCCCAAGTGTTCAGTTCAAATCCACCAGATGCTCTGCGCAAGGAGGGGCAATCTCCTCCTGCCCAAGTAGGATCCAATTTGATGGTACACAACAAGAAAGAAAAACTTTAAAAAAAAATTAAATTTTTTTTTAAAAAAAGAAACAGATTACAGTCGCAGAAGTTCTAAGCTAAATAGAAAACCTATATACACACACCCCACTTTCCCAACTGTCAGAGTGTTAAGATAAAAGAAGAAACTTTTCAAAAGAGTCCACGATCTCTTAGCGTATTTAGAACAAAGAGCCAATCATCTGTGCACATGACAAATCATGCTGAGAAGAACGAGCCGGTTAAGCAGGAATGTCCCTCTTCCGTACATAACTGTGTGGTCATCTCCTGGCAAGCATCAAACTATGGGTTTATCTGCACTCAAGGGGAGAGAACCCTCTACCCTCTGTTTTAAGTGGCTTTTAGTAACTGACTGTAAAGGTAAATAAGCTCAACAAAACAGAAATCACTCTGCACTTAGCCATGGCAGACAAGTCACAAAACTGATGGTCTTTCCCTTTTCATCGGTCTAGCAGTAATTCAGTAATCCGTCCAGAATTTAAAAAAAAAAAATCTCTAAAGAAAAAAATAGTTAAGTCTTGCCACTTAAAATCCCACAGGCTCTTTCTCTAAATGTAGGCAAACACCCATCGGCTGTCAGACACGCTGTTTTAACAGGTCACATGCATTTCCGTATTTAATCCTATCCATTGTAAGATACTAATGCTGTTGTTGCATGCTGTCAGGTCAGAACCTACTCAGCAGACCCTCCAGCGGGCTTTCAGAGGCTGTAAGTCACACAGGAGGAGACTGTCCATCTTTCTCCCACAGAGCAGCTCACGGACTCAAATCACATGCCTTCAGGTTGACAGTGCAACTCCGTAACACCAGTCTACCAGCGCTCCCAATAGTAAGGTACCAACAGTATGTCATTGTACAACACAGGACTCTAAATCCTAGACGTGCTAACACGTATGTCCAAAGTCACACAGTTAGAAGCAGCAAAGTTGGAACACAAATTCAGACCAGAGTCGTCTCCACGTCCCCCTACAACCAGCATCTGTCCATGTTCAGCATCCCACTGGGTCTTTGAGACATCATGCACATCTGTAGAAGCTTAGGTGTCAGAGACAATATTTAATATTACACAAAACGGGATAAATCTAAGATGGCCCAGTAAGGTCAAGTTTATTATCCAAAATGGCTTTCCCAGCCATGTGGATGGGGGGATATGAGAATCAGGCATGTTGGCCTAGCTACAGGGGGCCTGGCTAGTCTCATCATTAAATGGAGCAATCCAGCAAAACAACAGGGGATCTTCCCACCATCGCAGCAGTAGCAAGAGAACGTAGCATGTCCTTCAGGCCTAGAAATTCTTGCTACAGCTACACCTCCAGCAGCAGCAGCCATGGCTGAAGCCATAATATGAAGGACATAATAGACCTAACAGGAGATGAAGCTGACTGCTACCCTCCGTGGATAGAACCAGAGCTAAGAGGCTTTGCCCAAGTTTGCTGGATGACTGGGCAGCCCACGGGGGTGAGCCAAGATTGGCAGGTCTGTACATTTTATAATACTCACTGGCCTTAAGCCACCAGTCTCAAGTCTGAAGTGCTGCTGTCCTGACTGAATTTTGCTATTAACCTGGATTATAGCATTTTACCTTCCTCAATTTGGTTCTGCGTGGTCTGTAAGCGATCACATCAGATTTTGGACGGAGTAAAGCTGTTAAGACCGGTGCTGAGATGAGGTGAAAGAGTTACAAGAGCATGGGAGCCATGTCTGACCTCTTGGGAATTGGTTTTGTGTGTTGATGCTGTTCACGGGGACAGTTCCCCTTTGTGAAGTCAGTAAAGGTCAGATACAGCTGTCCCCAGAGAGCCCTTACTCTTTTTACTGTAACTCAGTAAACTAAATAGACTATTAACTGCTACGAAAAATATAAAACAAGACATAGTAAATGTACTTTAGAAGCCTACCAGAAAAATGAGAAAATAAAATGATTTTTTATTCTAAACATAGTAATGAAAAAGGATATGCAAAAGAAGTCAGTAACGCTGGAGAGAATTAATGGGTGGAAAATGCAAAGTGTGTCCCTCTACACAAAACCAAAAGTATGCCTCTGTGGGCTGCCTTCTGAGGGCTTCCACATCCTCGTGACTGTGTCTCACCAGAAAGACAGTCTTTTACAGCAGAGGCCAAGATGGCCAAGTCCTTGGAAAGGCAGCTGATAAAGGAAGTGCTGCTGGGCAGAACAAAGACAATACGCTCATTCTCCTGACCTATCAGAGATGCAGCCAACAAGCAGGGGAGCCACCGAGACCACGTTAAGCTGCTGAAGCCTAACTCCTGGCCTCCTTACCCAAGAACCCTGTTAACTGGGAGAGATCATCGCAATGTGTTCCTACTCCCTGTACTATGTTATAGCTCAGATGTTGCTGTTATTATGTGCCGTCAAGTCGCTTGCGACTCATAGCGACCCTATGTACAACAGCCCTAAACTCTGCTCTGTCCTGTGCCAATCACACTGTCTCTGACACACCCATCCTGATTACCCCAGTCACTGAATCAATCCACCTCATAGAGGGTCTTTCCCTCCTGTGCATGCCCTCCACCCTACCAAGCATGACATCCCTCTCCAAGGACCGGTCCCTCCTTACAACATCTCCAAAGTATGTCAGACAAAGCCTCAGAATCCTTGCCCCCAAGGAGCCACCCAGTTTAACCCTTTCCAGGATGAATCTGTTTGTTTTCCTAGCAGTCCATGGTACCCTCAATACTCCTCTCCAGCACCAGAGCTCAAAGGCATCAATTCTCCTTCTATCCTACTTAGTCATTGTCCAACTCTCTGATGCATAACAGGTGACCGCAAAGACCATGGCCTGGATCAGATGCACCTTAGTATCTCTCTAGAGAAACACCATTGCTCTTCAGTACTCTTGAGATGTCCCTCACAGCTGACTTTCCCATCGCAATACGTCTTTTAATTTCCTGGCTGCTGGTGTCAAGAGTGTTGACTGTGGAACCAAGCAAACTAAAGCTGTGAACAATCTCAATGTCTTCACCATCCATCCTGATGCTGCCAATTGGCCCAGTGGTGAGAATCTTTGTCTTCTTGATATTGAGCCTCAATCTATACTGAAGGCTGCAATCCTTGACTCTCTGCATCAAGTGCTCCAGGTCCTCCTCAGTTTCAGCAAGCAGGGTTGTATCATCCGCGTAACACAGACTGTTGATAGATCTTCCACCAATCCTGACGCCACATTCCTCCTCATAGAGCCCAGCCTCCTGGATAATATGTTCTGTATACAGGTTGAAAAGGTATGGAGACAGGACACATCCTGGCGTACGCCCTTCTCAATTTTGAACCACGCAGTATTTCCTTGCTCTGTTCTGATGACTGCCTCTTAGTCCAAGTATAGGTTTCTCATTAGCACTATCAAGTGTTCTGGGATTCCCATTCTTCTCAGAGTCAGCCACAGTTTGTTATGATCCACACAGTCAAACTCCATAGCTCATATAGCTAAAGTAAAACAATGGAGTGACTGAACAAGTTGGGAAGAGGTTTTCCTGGAAATGACTCCTAAGTCTCAAAACAATAGACATGTACTTACAGAAAGAAAAGAAGACCATCTGGGAGGCCACCAGCCACATTCAAACAACATCATGAAGACAGAAGAAAAAAAAAAAAAAGACAGAAGAGCTAAAGTCTAACCCTAAAAGATGACGTGGGTGACTGCATGCCAGGGGCTTGGAGAATTAAGCTTTGATTATTAGAAATGAGAAAACCTTGATATGTCATGATGTAAGAAAATGACCCGATTGAAAAAAAAAAGAAGTCAGAAGAAGATGAAATACATGTTCTCCATCCCATAAAAACAAAGAAAATATGTGTATTTCACATGAATGATGTAAGGACTGCATAACGTGTTTTATACACTGCATGACAGGGTGTACGCCTACCTCTCACTTTTAAAGTCTAGATGAAGATGGCTACAGCACACTCCAAGCAAAAAGTAAACACTGCTCAACTCAGGGAGTTGTTGTTACGTGCCATCAAGTCAAGTATAACATCACTGCGACCCTATGAACAATAGATCTGAACTGTGGAACTGGAAAGACAATATACACACAAATACTCTGGCACTCTCAGTTTCAGCAAAATTCCAACTTGTTTAAGAAAGCACTTTTCAAAGAAATATAACCACCACAAGGGTCACATTGAGGAAGCAAAGAAATATCCTGCTATTCTGAGTAAACTGGCAGAATGTGCATATTAAAACAACTTCAAAGGGCCCCTTTTCCAAATAAACATGAATTTATTCTGTAAAAAGTTACCATTTTCACTTCTGATTTCTTTACATTTTAATCTTAAAGCCAGTATAACTGTTTATAACTAATGCATAAAGTTACTATGGTACTGCATGAATTTTCTTCCTCCAAAGTGGTTGTTAAAGTTTTACATATATATAGATAGATAGATTGATATCGAGATATATAGATACATATAAAAGACATATTATATATATTAACACATAATATATAAATATATATTCTATATTCTGTATTAAGTAGAGTCAGAAGAAAATATGGCATTATTTTTTATTTCAGTTAGGAAAAGTAGAATTGCAGTATCAGTGCATTTATTATGTTTAATAATCCCAAACAACCACAAGATACCCTTTCCAAAAATATGGTACCTAGAGAGCCCAGACCAATTCTTCCCGAGAAGTTCACGTGTTTTTCAGACTGTAAACTAACTTGGGGAGTTTGTTTCCTGACAAACTCCATGAGTTAGGATAGTGTCTCTGTGTTCTAATTCCACCCTCAAAGAGAGACTTCCATAACAGCATTAGGTGGTCATCATGGCCTCTGCTTCAGTGTGTCTACTGTCCTTCCCATCAAGTCCTTCTAAAGACATACACTCTTTTAAGACATCCTTCTGTACAAAAGCAGGAGTGACATCTACTTCCTAAATAACATGCCTCTGGATACTTTATGAACTTTGATAAATGTCGATAGTTGTAGAGGGGCTTCAGGCCTTTTGTTCATAGGGTCGCTACAAGTCGAGTCATGAGTCGTGCTCAATTGGAAGGCAATATACAACAACAACTGTGCAAAGGTAATACACAATGTATGTTCTCACTTGAGGATCATACTTACTTGTGCTTGAGAACGAATTTGACATTCTTGTATGCAAAGGCTACCAGGTAAGTGCTTACAAGGGTCATCACACTATACAGAACAGCAGACTGAACCAGGTCCATATGCCATATTCGCCAGTAGAGCCCTAGATTCAAAACAGGAGGGCAGAGGAGGACAAAAAGAGAACATTACTGCACAGTCACAGACAGCTAAGTCAATTTTAACTAAGCCTGCTAAAATACAGTTTGGGACTCCAATACAGTATCTAAGGACTTCCAGAACCCAGGCTACCGTGTAAAAAGTCAACAGCAATCAAGAGTCCAGAACCCTTGAAGAAAAGCTTCACTTTCCTAGTACTTGTCCAGAGAAGATTTCCGTTTTTTTTAATTTTTTTTTTTAAATTTTATTATTTTTGTGTGAGTGTACCGTCAAATCAGATCTGACTGGTACAGGAGGAGATTGCCCCTCCTTCCCCGGCAGAGCATCTGGTGGATTCGAACCAAGCGCCTCTGGGATTGTAGTTGCAGCTCCTTACCACTAGGCCACCAGAGCTCCCGATTTCAGTTTCTTTTGAAACAAAAATTCTAGCTTTACAAATCATAGTTGTGACTTCACCGTTCATGCACCAGGGTTATGTACGGGAGAGGCCAGTGGAGTCTCACCATTCCCATGCTGACGTGGGCTGTTGTAGGACATCCAGCCAGTGAGCAGCAGTAAGACCTCCCCCCAACCCTCGATCTCCTTAAGGGTGAACCAGTGAGTGTGACCCGTACAGCAACTGGGCACAAGGGTGAGGGCCACCAGGCTCCTGATATTCAGGAGCCCCTGTGTTCTACAAACAACCCTGCAGAAACCCTTGTTTCAGCCCTTGCCTAGGTCTGCAAGCCTCACGTGGAGAACAATGGAGCAGTTCGAAAACAGATTCAAGAATCTAAGCAAGGCATATGATGACATTTGAGACGGATCCAAGCTCTGTCATTTTGCAAATTAGGAACATGAGGTTTACCAGTGTGCAGAGGTGACACTCTTGAGAGTTAAAAGGGATCTCTCAGCAGTATCATCTTCATTCATTTCAAGAAAGTAATGATACGCGTTTAAGGTTTGGCAAACGAAAACAGCTCGATTGAAAAGGAGAGACAACAGAAAACACGCGTGAAGTCTCAGCATGCAAACCACTGATGGTGCAGAACGCCAGAATGCACACAGACCGAGGACCCCAGCACCTACAGTCACGTCAACCCCCCGGGGGTGGGGCCAGTGCAGACTCTCAAGAGCTCCTCAAAGCACCCGTCCCCAAGGACACCGACCCCCGCCACGGGTGCCCGCTGCATTCGCATCAAGGCGAACAGGGGGGACCGGGAGCCCAGGCCCGCTCGGGCCACACCGATCGGCCCGGCACTGCCACGTCTCCGCCCAGCCCGACCCGACCCGTGTCCTCCACCCGCTGCCCAGCTCCCGCGCTCACAGATAGGGATGGCGGACACAATGAAGGCGTTGCCGAAGAACAGCGCAGAGGACTTGGCCGAGAGGTTCCGGCTGAAATCCTGCAGGAGCAGATCCTCTTCGGACTGCTGCTTGGAGGCGCCTTTGGGAGCCATGGCGGAACTGGACCGGAGGGGCAAGAGGTCCGGGATAAGCGCACAGCTGGGCGGGCGCCGGAAGCTCCGCCCCCGCGGCGGCCGTATCCGCTAACGACCCGTCAGCCCTTCGCGCAGAGCCGGGGCCCGCCCCGGCGCCGACACGCTGCCCCGTGATTGGTCAGACTGGTACGAGGCCTCCCTTGGCTTGATTGGGCGAGAGAGACAGGCTTCCGGCTGTCTGTCAGTCACGTGACGCTACTACATCCAAGGAGACCTAGGGGATGTGTAGTTTAGTTGATAATTATGGTAATGAGAAAAACTTTATTGGCAAACTACTTCACTACTGCTGATAAACTGATAACTTTGGGAGTCTTTAGAATCTGCATTGTATATTCATTCTCCCAGCGGGTTATCAGTGCAGTTCCTTAACCACTAAGCGGCCTGAGCGCCCTGAGGGAGCCCCCGTGGCCTGGTCTATATAGGGAGGTGCGCTGCCACAGTGGGTCCATCCACCGCACCTCTGCAGGACAGAGATGGGCAGTCTCCTCCCCTGCGAGTTAAGCTTCTGAAAACCCGCTGGAAGGTCAGCTATGAGTGGTTTCCGATTGGATGGCACCGAGGGAGTGAATGCATTTCAACTATGAGTTGGAGCCAATTTCACATAACAAACCCTAGTGGCACAGTGATTAAGCACTTGACTTATATGTGTAAGGCCAGAGGTTGAGGCTGGCCAACCTGAAGCCCAAAGATGTTTCCCTAAAGATGACAGTCTTGGAAAGCCTGTGGGCCAGTTCTACTCGATCCCGTAGGGTCTCCATGGGTTGGAATTGCCCGCAGTGACTCGGTTTAGTTTGGTACTACTAGGCTGAAGGAACTAAACCCAGGAGTTGCAATACTTACGGATGTTGTGGGCAGAATATTGAACGATCTAGGAAGCATTAAAAGAAGATGAAAGGCGTATACAGTCATAGTACCAAAAAGAATTGACTAGGGGAGCTCTGGTGACCTAGTGGCAAGGAGCTGCAACTACAATCCAAGAGGCGCACGGTTCGAATCCACCAGATGCTCTGCCGGGGAAGGAGGGACAATCTTCTCCTGTACCAGTCAGATCTGACAGTACACTCACATAAAAAAAATAAAAAGAATTGGCTGACATAGAAGAATTTCAAGAAACAACATATGATCAAGAGGCAATGGTGATGAAGCAGGGAAAATAAAACCCCAGGAATTGATGGAATACCAATTGACGTATTTCAGCAAACAGATGCTGCACTGGATGTGCCCACCAAGTTGTGCCAAGTGAAATTTGTATAGGTTACAGTGAGTAAGTATGTCTTTGTACTTGTCTTTTTTAGTTCATTGGTCACCCGGTCACTGGAGTCACCCTCTGTAGACCTCATATCAAAAAACTCATACTTAACTCCTCTCAAGATGGATACAACTCGTAGTTGACCCTACAGCAGGCTTCAAAGGGAAGACATTGCCTGTTTTTATCCTTCAAAGCCACCGGTGAGTGTGAGCCAACCACACAGGTATAGCAGAGTGCAGGAACATGAACTCCAGTTCAGTTCCCAGCTGCATGTCATTATTAGATAGACTTGTAGGTTGTTTCTCTTGGGGAGGAGTGAGAGTCTTCTTTGATATGCGAAGAAGGGTAAGTGTAGATATTTAGTGGTCAGGCGAGCAGACTATAGGGAAGACAGGTGCTAGCTAGCTATAAAAGACTTGAGTTCCGGAGATCCAAGATGGCGGCGGAGGCAGAGACAGCGTGGTGAGCTGTGGGAGCAGCGAACCACTTAAAGCAGGGCCATTATGGCCTTCCACAGACTTCGACTTATTGATAATTGAACAGTTGATGACGGGCCCTCAGTAAAGATCGAGGCTCAACAACAGGAAATGGGTGAGTCTCGTGGCTCCCAACCCTCCCCCCCGCCCCTGCAGAGCCTGTGCCGCACCACACAGCCACTGCAGTTCCATGAGGCTTCCACGGCTGGAACAAATGGATTCCCTCACCCAGGATGGACGCTGGGCACCGGCCCTCCTCAAGACAGTGAAGCCACCACACTGCCGCAAGGTGGACTTGGTCTGGAGAGAATTCTTGGAGCCAGGATGGCAGCTGTGGGGGAAGCAGGCGCCCTCCGGCCACCCGCACAAGAGGGGCCACGCACCCACCAAGAGCCCGTGCGGGGGGGGGTAGGGGGGCGCACCCCCAACGGCTCCCCACGCTGGGGGTGCCACACGCCTCCCACTGGCCTCCCATGCTGGGGGGGCATGCCCTGCTGGCTGCCTGCATAGGATGTGGGGGATGGGATGCATGCCCACCATCTGCAGGTTTGGGTTTCCTTGGACAGGCCAAAGAAGACAATTACCTATGCAATAGATTGC